CTGGGTAAACATTTTCAATTAGGTCCATAAAATTAGACATCAAAAAACAAATCTCAGACAGATCAATTTTACCATTTCTAGTCAGTGACTGACCATTACCAACACGGAGTAAAGCATCAGCAAAAGTTTTATTTCCTTGGTCAGATGATAATATTCTCATATTAGTTTTAAGTTTCAATTTAGTTATGTCTGGCCAAATGTAAGATCTCTTTAATAATGCATTGACTTCATCAGCTCTCGTTCCTCTTACTACAACTGGCAAGATTTGACGAAAATCTCCAGAAAATAAGACTGTACAGCCACCCATTAATGTATTTTTATTACGTAAGTCCCGCAAGGTTCTATCCAATGCCTCAACCGAGCTTTTGTGGGTCATGGATGCTTCGTCCCAAACAATGAATACACAATCCCGCATCAATTGAGCAGTGTTGCTTTGTTTGGATATATTACAGACACTTGATGTGTCATCGTAGGACATTTTTAGCGGGATCTTGAAAGTGCTATGCGCAGTTCGACCACCTTCTAAAAGCGTAGCTGCAATTCCAGATGAAGCCACAGCAAGAGCGATTTTTCTGTCTGTTTTTATTTTTGCGAGCAATAAGTTAATTAAAAATGTTTTTCCTGTACCTCCAGGGACATCAAGGAAAAATGTTTTGCCTTCGTAATTATAAATAGATGTCATTACTGCGTCATAAACCGTTTTCTGATCAGAGTTTAAACGTCTCTCATTTTGAACGACCTGTAATAGACGGACACTATCGTAGGACGTCTCTCGCAAGTATTCAGTATTGGTATTCAGATCTATATTGTTCGATAGAATTAATCCAAAATCAGTGATATTTTTGCCAGAAACTGATTGCACCACTTTATTCAACTCAAGTAAAGCTTCATTAAAAATATTTTCATCGTAATTTATATTATCTGATGGACATTCTTTTTGTTTTCGAAACAATACGTCTTCAGCCATACTTGCACGATGATTTTGCCAAAGCCTTATCGGGTCAGTTACTTGGCAAAATACTATCAAAATGGCAAATAAATTTCTTATAGACGGTGAAGTACAACATACAGTAGCTTCAGATAATGTGTTTTCCCATTGTAAATCATCTTCTAACAAACCCATTGCTTTGCATGCTTCTTGAAATGTATCATACGTCACTCCTTGCACAGTTCGTAGACTTGCAAAAGAAATTGGACCTTTGATCACGTGGAGCAACATTCTTAAGTAAAAACATTCACTGTTATTCGGATGAACTACATACACTCTACCAAGGGTATCAGTTTTTTTTACCCCAGGATGATTTTCGACGGGGGTTCCTAATTTTCGTCGTTGGAAATTTTTGATAGTTCCAAGTATAATAATTTGGAACCTTGTCATATGTTATGGTTTTAGCAAATTCGTCTGTAGCACATAATTTGAAAAAAGCAGTCAATGTAGTATCACGTGGATTGTTCACAATGTCATTGACATTATGTTGTGTAAAAAAAACCCTTTGTCCATTCTCTAAGTGAATTGCCAAGTGAATAATAGCAGGCGCTCGTTCGTGTACATCAAAAGATAAAATACGTCAAACCGCTTCAGAACTACATATGTATCGATCAGATTGAAATTGTTCCACTTCATTTCGATAGTATAAACTAAATGTATCTTGATCACTACCTTTGTTTATATATTTGGTAATATATTTTATTGATTTTACAGAGCTACACTGTTCCACGTTTATGTGTGCGTCAAATATTTTAAGCAACAGTGGGTTGTAAGGGACTACCCACCTGTTATCAATATCATTATTTCGAATTATAGCAATTTGTCCGCCTTCTTCAGGTGATAGTCTCCGATATTTGGGGTAACCATCATCGCCAGTTGATGTGTGACTCTGAAATAATTTTGGAAATTTTTTTGAGCACCTTCCCTCCGTCATACACGGAGAGTTTGTATTTAAAACTCCACATGGTCCATGAATCATGTGTCTGACTACAGAGTTGAACAATAATGGATCATCTTCTTTGTTTGGCAACTCTGCTGAAATCACATTGTCAATTTGGTCTGGTGTTATTTTATTTTTAAGCCATAATAGAAGATGAATGTGTGGTAAGCCACGTTTCTGCCACTCGACCGTATACATAAAACAACGTGGTTCACCAAATATATTAGCTTTATTAATGAGAATCAATAGTTTTTGTATTTTCAAATGAAACACCCTATTGACTATGTCATATCTGTCTTGCGGCTGTGCGTTAGGATGAAGATCAGTTTTAATCTCTTCCCAGTTTGGATTACATGTTACAGTGATAAATAGGTCAGGTTTGCCATAATTTTTTACATAGGTCATTGCGTCTTGTGTCTTTTCGTGAAGATATCGTGGTCCACCAGTAAATGATGATGGTAGAATTACTAATTGTCCAATTTCGATACTCGGCTCATTTGAGTTCAAGGCATCTTGCAAATGTATATAATTTTCAGCTCGTAATGTTGTCTGATTGTTTCGTATGTACGCTAAACGTTCTGATTCTATTTTAGAATATTGATCGACTAAATATTGGTTTAACAACATACCATATCTGAGTAACATATTGCAATTGTTTTGTCTTTCCATAATGCGATAACAGTAATAATTCATACACGAAACGATTTTTTGTAATGGAACTCCAGTATGAGGGTCAATTTGATGAATATCGATAGAATATCCATCTTCACCACGACATAACATTAGTGGATATTGCAGGCTGTCATAAGACCTGTGAATTTCAGATATTTTTTTAAGATTATCGTCTCGGTTACACAGTACAATATCTCGTTTATGAAATTGTTGGCCAGATATCACTACGGCTACCTCGCTTGTTGATGGCGCATTATAACGTCCTCGATGTTCACCTGTTGGTACCCTGCTAGCGTGTATGACTATATTGTAATCGGGAACATTTGGAAGGACACTTTCAATGGCTGTTTTAAAAGATTGTATGTATATATTATGTGAGTGCAACATATCTTGTAATGACCTGATCAAAGAGCTATCTAACAGTTTCCTAGAATCTATGTTACATCGAGTTGTCACTTGAGTTTCAGGATCGGCAATGAAGTATATTTGCAAAAATTTGTATTCGTCAGATCTATTCGGTAGTAGACTGCCAGCCAAATGATATACCTGGCCTTGTACTTTAAAAGTTGGCATAAATTTACCTTCAACTATTTTACGACTTTTAAATGATGTCATTTGAAAAGCATTATTATAGCGACGTATGTTACGCTTGAATTCTCCATGTTT